CACTCGGGGGGTTTTACCACTCGTTGTATCAGAATCTCTTTATGCTTGTTGACTTCTGAAAAAGCATGCCTTATGTCACTTATCTCTTTATATCATAGTCATGCAGTAAGCCAATAACTTACATAAAACAGAACATTCTTGCAACAGATAGAAAATCACAAAACAAAATTGTTTATCCTTGTTGCAGCAGTTTAGTGAATGATATTGAAATCTCTAGTCGCCTTCCCCCCTGAGGTGGCACACGATATTCTTGGATTCTTTTTTCTTTTTTTTTTTCCTTTTTTAATGTCATAATTACTGGTTATATTTAAGTCGTATTTTAATATTTATCAAATTTGTACCTTAGGCCATGGATGAAGATGCCTTAAGTCTCTTAAAATGGCTTGCATCTTCTCAAGCTGCAGAAGATATCAATTCAGATGATGAACTTGCTCGGGAAACAATTTTGAGTCCCTTGCTCCCTTCCAAACACATTGAGAAGGTCTTAGAGAGGGCCAACGTTGACTACGAGAGTGAATCGCAGAAAGATTGTCAGGACATCCTCGATTCTGTTGATATGCTTAATTTTGAGAAATCTGATTGCAAAGCCTCTTGTCCTGAGGAGATTAATCAGTCGTTTGAATCTCTGTTAGATAGAACAATACCACAAGTGGATGGCTCTAGTGACGACTTACAGCCAGTATCCTGCCAGGACAAAAGTGAAGCAAAGCCTCATGCTGAACGCCAATCATGGCCGCAATCGGATTTGACCTTAATATGTAAGAACAGAATGAAGAGACCTCGCTGGGGTTCTTTACCTATCTCTCGTCAACGAGCAAGTGGCTTTTTTCCTCCCGATACATTGTGCATTCCCGAAGGAATTGAAGAGAGAAAAGAAGGTTTAGGAACTTCCTGTCCGGGGGATGAATCAAAAAGATCCTTAATTGTACTGGATGATGAGCAGAAGGGTATTAGTGGCATGAAACAATCTAGTGCTGGATTGGCATGCTCACCAAGGGATTTGATGAGGCGAAAGCGGTCTCATAGAACTGAAATCTTTGAGAATAGAAGTCAGGAAGACTTGAAAGCAGAATCACACCCTAATGCTGAGTACCTGACAGGATATATAAATACTGACTCAAAGTTATGTAATAGTATTCAAGATCCAAGAGATGGTATTTCGATTTTGCATAAATCTCCAATGAAAAACGAGGATGCGAAGGTGTGCCATGAGGCTGTCCATTTAATACCAACCACTTCTTCTATTGCTGCCATTGGGGTGTCACCTATGTCATCCAGTAAAGAGAAGATAGAGGAGGGAAATTTGCCAATGAATAGGAATCTGGGGGATGTGGGATATGACTCGTGCCTTGGTCCTAACGAGCTCGAACTTGCTTGTGTTTCAAAAACCGAAGTTGTCTCTGAAGATGATCCTGGTTTGTTTGAGCCTTGCGGGACATCAGAAAACTTAAACAAGGAATATGGAACTGCAAACCTAATTGGTATGACCTTCTCTGTGAAACCTCCAACTATAAATTGGACAGATGAGCCCAAGGGAGAAGGCAGTAACATACATACATCTATTCCGGGAGATATTGCAGATAATTACCTCCCTTTTTTCTCCTCAGATAGAGTACTTGATGGTGCTAGCCTTAGAAAGTGTAAAAATGATGGAAACCGAGAACCAGTACTGGGTGTTCCTACACTTTTTCAGAACGATGGGTCATATTTATTCATGCTGACCCCTGCTGCCTCACCTCCATCGACAGAATCTGTCGATAGATGGCTATCGTCCAATTCTTCTAATAATATCTCGGAGCAGAAGCCAAATGTTCCATCACCCTTTGGGGAGTGTGCTCCTTTGTCCGGAGAAAAGCTTGATCAAAAGAACGGCACTGTGAAAGTTGAAAGTATTAATGTGAATAAGAAAAATGTATCAACGGCCTGCTCGATGGACATTTCTCAAATATCCGGCCCAGATAAGAATATGAGGCAGACTCCATTGAGTCAAATCGGCTTCCGTGATCCAGCAAGTGCTGGTCAAGGGCAGCAGCTAACGCTGATGAGTATAGAGGTCCAAGCTGAATCCCGAGGAGATTTAAGACCTGACCCGCGATTCGATGCCATCAATATCATTGTTCTTGTTCTTCAAGAGGACGATGAGTCTACATTTGACACCCATGTGCTTCTGCGTGGTGGATCTTATTATGCTGAGAAGGACCTTGATGCTGTTTCAGAGTCCACGGTCTCTGTTTTTACTGAAGAACAAGAATTGCTTAAACATTTTATAAAAATTGTTCATGCTACTAATCCAGATGTTTTGATGGGCTGGGACGTACAAAGCGGTTCTCTTGGATATTTGGCCGAAAGGGCTGCATTTTTGGGCGTTGGCCTGCTAAATAGTATATCGAGGACACCTTCGCAAATAAATGTGACTCCTGGAGATTCTGACGCTTCTCAGAAAGAGATGGGGGCATTGTTTTCCCAATCAGTCACTGCTGAAGCAGTCCATCTTGAAAATACATTAATTGAGGATGAGTGGGGAAGAACACATGCAAGTGGTGTTCATGTAGGTGGTAGAATTGTGCTTAACGTTTGGAGACTGATGCGGAATGAAGTTAAACTCAATATGTACACAGTTGAAGCTGTAGCTGAAGCAGTTCTGAGGCGAAAAATTCCATATATCCCTTGGAAAGTACTAAAACAATGGTTTTCAAGTGGACCCGGACGAGCACGATACAGATCTATTGACTATACAGTAGAGAGAGCAAAGTTGAGCCTGCAAATAATGAATCAGCTCGATATGATAAATCGAACATCAGAACTTGCTCGAGTGTTTGGTATCGACTTTTTTTCAGTTTTATCTCGAGGCTCACAGTATCGTGTTGAGTCAATGTTTCTTCGATTAGCACACACACAGAACTTTCTTGCTATATCTCCTGGAAAGCAACAGGTTGCCAATCAACCAGCAATGGAGTGCTTACCTCTTGTTATGGAGCCAGAATCTAAATTTTATGCCGATCCTGTTATTGTTTTGGATTTCCAGTCTCTGTATCCATCAATGGTAATCGCGTATAACCTTTGCTTCTGTACCTGTCTAGGGAAATTTACACCTACAAATTTGAATATTCTTGGTGTCAGTTCATATTCACCAGATGTAAATACTTTACGCAACTTAAAAGATGACTTACTTTTGACGCCCAATGGTGTTGTCTATGTTCCTTCGAAAGTTCGGAAAGGGATACTACCTAGGCTGTTAGAAGAGATATTATCGACCAGAATCATGGTGAAAAAAGCGATGAAGAAGTTGGCTCCATCTCAGGTGGTTCTTCACAGGATATTAAATGCCCGACAGCTTGCTTTGAAGCTTATAGCAAATGTTACTTATGGTTACACTGCTGCCGGATTTAGTGGACGCATGCCTTGTGCTGAGCTTGCCGACAGTATTGTGCAGTGTGGCCGTAGAACACTGGAATCTGCTATTGCTTACGTGAACTCAAATGACAAGTGGAAAGCCAGAGTTGTATATGGTGATACTGATAGGTGCGTATCAAGTTCCTCTTAACTTTTTTTTATCAATCCATGGGAACAGAATGAAATTTAAATGAAAATCTGTGGTGGGCTTTGCCTGCAGCCACGCTATGATGATATTAATATGCATGTTTATTTTGGGCATGTTTATGTATTTTTCTCTGGGACTAAGTATTTGTTTATCTTCTTTGGTGCAGCATGTTTGTACTTTTAAAAGGGCGTTCTCTTAGAGAAGCTTTCACGATTGGACGAGAAATTGCATCAGCTATAACTGAAATAAATCCAAATCCCGTCACTTTAAAAATGGAAAAAGTTTACTTTCCGTGCTTCCTCCTTACGAAAAAGCGGTATGTTGGTTATAGTTATGAGTCCCCCGATCAGTGCAAACCAGCCTTTGATGCTAAGGGTGTTGAGACGGTTAGGAGAGATACTTGTGGGGCTGTATCTAAAATGATGGAGCAGTCATTGAGGATCTACTTCGAAAGTCAGGATATTGATAAGGTGAAGAGTCTACTTTTTACTTCTCCTCTAAGGTCTTGTTTGAATCATTGCATATGTTTGTATCACTGATTAGCACTATCTTATCTCATGTTCACAGCAAATGAACACAATAATGAACAATATGTGATTGTGTTCATCTTTCTTGTTGGCTATTGGGTTTATATAGCAGGAAGGTGAAGCTTCATTTGTGGCCTTTTAGGGTAACCATCGTTACCTTCTATGAATTTAGTCCAATGGGAAAGGCCCGATTATAATGCTACAAATAAGCTAGAAATATCCTATGCCACCATGAGTTATTTGTCAAGGATTTGGTGAAGATGACCGTAGTTGATGGTGGATTTTTCTACTGTGATCACAATAAATTTTTTTTCATTATCTTCTCTTTACACAAGATTTGAATCGAAATCAATGCCAAGAAAAGACCAAGGGATGGAAAATTACTAACTGGAATAAGTAAAGAAGTCGCTATTGATAAAACGGGGAAAAAAAAAAGAAAAATGGTTGCCTGGAGTATCATGGGCAAGCCTGTGCTAGTTAGGGTATTTGAAAATTAGTATTTAATTTTTTAAGTTTAGAATCTAGAGAGGATCACTCGGTAAGGAATCATGTTTGAACTTGATAGAGGCGTGAACATTCTTATGTATGGAAATCCATGTTGATTTATGCATATGCAATTTATGATGCAACTCTTTTAGATTGCTCACTTGCTGAAAGTTTCTTCGAGCAATGCTGATCAATTGGAAGTTTTGATCTCAAGTACATTTCAATCTCTAGTTCATCACATACTATGCCTTTGAAACTTATTGCCTGGTCACTACTTTCGCAAACTGCAGGCATAATATTAGTGTGTATCTGCAAACTGATTTGATAAACCTGATTACAAAAATCACGAGCACATAGAAGTTTATCTCTTGTCCATTTTCCTCGAATCTGTCGGCCTTCTTAATTTCCTTTTTGTTCAGGTCAGAGAATATATGCAGCGCCAGTGGACTAGGATATTATCGGGTAGAATCTCTCTTCAGGATTTTGTTTTCGCAAAGGAAGTCCGCTTGGGGACATATAGTGCAGGTGCTTATTCACTTCCTCCCGCTGCAATTGTGGCCACTAAATCAATAAAATCCGATCCGCGTGCAGAGCCACGGTACGCCGAGCGAATACCTTATGTAGTCGTTCATGGTGAGCCTGGGGCCCGCTTAGTCGATATGGTGGTGGAACCACTTGAACTTCTGTCGATTAATTCCCCATTCAGACTGAACGATGTTTATTACATTAGGAAACAGATAATCCCAGCATTACAGAGAGTATTTGGTCTTGTCGGGGCTGATTTGAACCAGTGGTTCTTGGATATGCCTCGACCGGCACGTGAAGCTATCGGAAAACGATATTCTTTTGCTCAGAATCCACAGAGGATGAGAATTGACTATTACTATGAATCGAAACATTGTATCCTTTGTGGCGATCTGGTACATGGATCGGCCCATTTGTGTCACAACTGTTGTAAGGATGAAAGAACTGTTGCTGCAGCCTTGACAGGAAGAACTTCAAAACTTGAGAAGGATTTACAACACCTTGCTGCTGTAAGTATTTGTATTTCGCGTTACATATTCTCATTCACGTAGATTTTTGCATTTCATTCGAGTTCCTACTTGAAGTCTTGAAGTCACCTTTTAACTCTCTCTCTCTCTCTCTATCTATCTATTTAACTGGAAACTAGCTGTGTACCTGAATGTCTGATAAAATTTGGCAACTTGTCATAGAATGACGTAGCTAAAGCATAGACGATTGGGAGAATCAAGAGAAAACTCTCAATATATTTTATTTCAATCAAAACTCAATTCACTCAAAACAACAACAAAATAGGAGTTTTAAATAGAACTCCTGAAAACCTGTAGTAAATAACTTGCCCAGCAAGTAAGGAGATGCTTGGATATAATTTTTTTGTTTTTGTTTTGATTTGATTTTTTAGTTTGGCATGGTTAATTTTGAAAAAATTGTATGGTTAGTTGTTAGTGGGATTTTGAGTTTATATTAGATTAATATTTAAAATAAAAGAATTAAAATTGGTTTGATGTACAAGTAGGAGAGAGGTGAAGTGAAGTGATGGTTAGTTAGAATTATGTGTGTGAATGAATAGTGAATCAAAGTTGATTAATATGAACGAATGATAGATTGATATTATTTAATTATATTAATAATATTGAGGATAGTGAAGTCGAGTTAAAAGTTGAGTTAGATTTAAGTTAAAATGAGTGATTGGTTAAAAATGATTGGATATTTTTAGATAAATTTGTATCCAAGCATCCCCTAAAGGACTAGGATAAATAAATAAATTTGCCTACCAAATCTAGGATGCAAATAATAATAATAAAATAAAGAAATTAAATAATTAAACTAATGATGCTAAACGATCATGTTTGTTCAAAAAGGCCATCGCAAACTCGTCTCCAAAAAGTATTGTACTTGGCGTTGCATATTCTCGTTCACATAGTTTTTGCATTTCATTTGAGTTTCCACTTGAGTCACCCTCTCACAAGCATGCTATTTTTTGGGAAGCAGATATGTCGTCATTGTGGGGGCGGGGATTGGCTGGTCGAAAGTGGAGTGAAATGCCAATCACTTGCGTGCTCGGTTTTCTACGAGAGAGTCAAAGTCCAGAAGGAGCTGATGTCACTCACTGAAGTTGTTACCAAGACTGGTTTGTACCCTAAATGTATGGTAGAGTGGTTTTAACTTTAATCTACTTACTCTTTCTTGAAAAAGTAAAAAAATTACGAAGAATTTCACATGTAATTTCCCTTTGATATGTAAAAAGTTACATGTAAAAGTTATATTTACTGATGGAACATGAAACAAGAATAGGAGATTCATCATGTAAATTCCCTTTTCCACTCACTTAAGGGATTCTGATTATAGTGCTGTTTATGCTGATAATATGTATTTTCTTCATCTTGTTCTTCTCTTGGTTATGTACTATCAAAATTCGACGTAAAAATCTGATTAGTGATTTAGAAAATTTGAAGGCTTAGTGAAAACTTTCCTTGTAGCTGTCATTTGTGCAGAAACAAGCCTTTAATAATCTGTTGTATATACGTTATATCGTTTATATGACGATAGTTCAATCAAAATCGTTATTTCATTTATAACGATATATCTATAATAGCGATATTCTTGTTCTCGACGATAGTTCAATCAAAATCGTTAATTTCATTTATAACGATATATCTATAATAGCGATATTCTTGTTCTTCAAACAGTTCTCAGTAGTTTAAAATTCTGTGGTCTATATTTTCCACTGTTCTTAATAGCCTAAGATGGGTCTTCTATGTTTTCCTAACATTGTGTCGGTTGAATCGTTGATTAAATCAACCATTCAATAGTTAAAACAATTTATAATTGAAATTTGAGAAATAAGTGAAATTAACAATTTTGACAAAATTGTATTTATTGTAGGACACGTGTCAATACATTAATGGTGAATAAGTAAGAATTGCTCTATAAGTCGAGTCATCCGATGACTCTACAGCAAAACTGAATTGTTAATATGCCTGTAAAAGCTTAAGAAAACAGATGAAACGAAATAGACGAAAGTGCATAAACTATGGACAATGAATATATATATATTATGATTAATATTCAACTTACTCTCATCCTAAAATATGATAAGTTAAATATAACTTAAATAACGTGATATGATATTTTATAAATTTGTTTTAGTAAAATTGAACAATATAGATATAAATTATATTGTTATGTAGTTAAATAGAATGCAATAAATATGTGGTTATGCAATTATAAAGATCATCACCAATTAACTAGTTGAAAAATATTCAAATTGTTATTATTATTATAGAAATTAATTTTAAGAGATTTTCTATGCCATTTGAACAAATAACCAATTACGATTAAAAAAAGAACAATATTTATTTTAAAACAAATAAATTTCGAAAATACAATAGATTATTATAAGTATCGAACTTCCATATACCCTTTTAGTTTTAGTTTTAGCTTATAATTAAATTATAATTAATAATAATTATTACATGTTAAAATATTTCATAATAATTGTACCCAAAAATATATATATATATATTTCATAATTAACTGAAATAACGAGGGATTTCTTTCTTTTTTACTTTTAAGTGTTAAAAATATATTATTATTTTCAGTTTGGGGGTTTTAGGCTCTCTGTGAGTGTGGCTGAGTGAAGGTTTTTGCTTCCCCCTTTTCATGGCGGGGTTTTAGTCACAGAGCTCAATTGTTCCTCTCCCGAAAACCTAAAATGGCACCGTCTCATCTTCTCCTGAGGCGCCTCAAGTACTCTAAACCACTCTCCCTTTACCCCTTGTCCCGATTCCCAACCTCCGCCGTGGGATTGTCCACCGCCGCCGACTCCGCCACCCAATCCGCCCCCGCCGCCAAACCCCCGTCACTCTCCGCCCGCATGAGCTTCATCTTCGATCAAATCGACGAAATCGACAGGAAACGCGAGGAGAAGGACGAATCCCTGCAGCGCATACGCGCTTGGCGCGAGTCGAAGAAACAGCAGGAAGGTTCGGTCGGGAAGACGACGGCGGAGGATCTGAAGGCGGAATTGGAGAAAAGCGAAGCTCTATTGTCCGATAGAGGTGGTGCTAAGAGAGAGGTGGAGCTGGTGCACCCGTGGCCTGAGTGGGTGGAGCTGATGGAGAGGCTCGTGCAGCAGAATTACTTCGATCACAGGAGGAAGGACGAAGATGGTATGATGGAGGGCCTCGGATTCGACGTGCCGGAGGCCACTACCGAGGAAGATAACAGGCGGCTCGACTTCACCCGGAATTTCAAGACCGTACAGTCTGCGATTGTTAATTTCGGCCGCGACCGTTTTGATATCTTGAGGTTTTGTTTTTTGTTTTTATTGTTTATTTAAAAGATGGTACATTTTGAGGCTCGCTTACGATCCAATTTTTCCAGGTCATTGTCGAGACAGGATCTTCAAATATTGGTGGGTTATGGATGTCCAAGTGCAGATAAGAAGGTTTCATATTCGGGCAAACTTTTGAGGAAACATGTCCATTTGGATGAAGGAGATGTAAGCTTAAAGTACTATATTATTTGTGTGATATGTTTATTATTAGGTGTATAACACATAGTTATTCAGTCAGTATGTTGAAATATACTCTCAGGAGGTCCCAAATACTTCATTTGTAAGATTAACAAGATAAAATATATTGTGGATATGTAATTACAAATTTTTGGATTGATAAATACGGATCATGGAAGAATTTAGATCATCCTGATATAGGGATCACACTTTTTTTTTTCTTTTTTTTTTTTTTCTGTTTTTTCATGAAAGGGCGGTCATTTTTGTTTTTTTCAAGTTGGTATGTGCTTTGTGTTGTTGTTTGTTCAGTTATTATTGAAAAGAAAGGCTTTATTTGTTCAGTTTGCTGCACTATGAGACATTTTCCGTTTAGCTCATTATCTCTCCCTTCACTCACAAATTAAATCCTTGAGTGGTTTGACTTGTTTACATCTTCCAACACTTCATTGAGTTCTAAAGAGATCATCAATTCTGCTGAGGTCGTGAGAAATCAATGTTTATGCTTAAATTTGGACTGATGGATTTGAAGCTATTGTCTCCAAATTTATAGTAATAGCTCCATCGAGCTTGTTTGGATAATCACATGATTTGGTGGAGCCTTATTTTCTGTAATTGTGGTGACAGTTAAATCCCTTATATGGTGATCATTTGATTGTTAAAGGTTTAGTTACATATAGACATTGTTGGGAGTGACCTTAAAGAAATAATCATGGCTTTCCAAACTTTATTTTCTTATTTAATGTGATATGTTTTAATTTTTTCACTTTTTGGGCTGATACTACACTTATTTTCTGGAGGGTTCAGATTTTTTCTTATAAGAAAGTATCCTAGAGTTGTGGAAAAAAAATGCTGCAAAGGTGTATTCATATTCTTTAGAAACCCCAATTCAATGCTACTAAGTGACCCCAACATATCATAGTTTCTTATACATTTTTGCTAATCTACACTAAAGACGAAATACCCTGACTAATTTACATTGTGTCCTGAAAAATATTCACCATAATTATTCAGGAGCAAGTTGGTACTAGTGATGAATGTCACATCTATTTAATAATCCCAGGATGTGCACATGCTCCATATCTATCCGTCCACTGTGGAAAACAATATTAATATCATTTCTCCTCTTTCACGTGTCAGGTTTGCAGTTCCTGCAGTCTGAGAAGCTCTTGTGAAAAAGCATATTTGCTCACAAATAAAGAGGATGAAGCTCGGACAATAGACGTCATGCGTATCTTACTTGCATATGGTTTTGATGCAATTGATGGATCGGTTGCAAACAAACCATTATTGAAAATGAAATCGGTGAAGGCAGTTGTTAGAAAATTGATCCATGATGTAGTCAAGCTGAGTGCAGTCCCGATAGATCCAAACCTTCCACCTCCGGTTATTAAGAAGCCTCCGCCGAAGGTGAAGCAACCACCTCCGCCTCCGAAAAAAAGAATTGGCCGAAGAGACGTTGAGATGAAAAAGGGGGATTGGCTCTGCCCCAAGTAGGTTTGACAATCCATTTTATTTGTTTTATATGTCGATTGTTGTTATTTATCAAAATCTTTAGGGTGTGATTGGATATGAATTTGATTGATTTTTGGTTAGTTTTTTGTTAACCATAGTTAATTTTGAAAAAGATGGTATGGTTAGTTGTTAGTGGAAATTTAAAGTTAAATTAAAATAATATTTAAAATAAAATTATTAAGATTGATTTAATGTAAAGTAGGAGAAAAATGATTCGAAGTGATAGTTAAAAGTATGTGAGTGGATGAATAGTGAATTAAAGTTGATGTAATGTGTAGGAATGATTGTTTGATATTATTTATTTGCATTGATAATATTGAGGATATTGGGGTTGAGTTAAAGTTGAGTTAAATTTGAGTTTTGATTGGTTTTTTACTGGTGATGTTTATATTCAATCACACCCTTAGTCATTTGGTTGTACATCTTTAGTATGCATTCATGTGATATTGTCAACCAACGTTCTTTTTTATTTACCGAGTAAACGACTTTATTTTCTTAAACTCCATTTTCACTTTTAGTTAAGAATTTGTAAAAATAGAAACATGTATTTTTTAGTTGTACACTGGTTTCCAAAGGAAAAAATAACCTTTGAAATTTGCAAACAATATGTGGGTTACATCGGATTACACTTTTTATGCTAATCAAGTAAATAATAAGTGGCCGTGGGAAGTTTGTATATATAGAATATCAAAAAATCTTGATTGCATCACATATAATGTATCATAACTTAATGCTTAGTTTTCATTCCAGGAGGTGGAATACTATGTAAGAGATATTAGCCCACACGTAAATAGTTCATATGGAATATCAGACGATCAGACAAAAGTGGAAAATCTTATAGTCGATGGGAATTGTAATGTAGTGTTTTATCTGATGCGATTTGGCCATAATCTTCTGATAGACAATGTTAGTATCCTGCTTTCTTCAGCTAATAAAAGGTTGCTAGACAATGTTGTTGTGCGTTAAGAGGACCCGTCTTCAGCTGTCAGGTTGCTGGAAATTAGTCATGTTTGAGAAACCAAGGGCCATCATTTGATTTTTTGATTTTTTTATTTTTTTTTTGTTGACTTTAGCTCGAAACATTTCCATTCTTTTGTTTTCCTAATACCCATTATTACAGGTGCGAATTCTTGAACTTCGCAAAAAATACTGTATGCTTGCAGTGTGATGCTAAGCGTCCTAAGAGACAGTTGCTTCCAGGAGAATGGGAATGCCCCCAGTATGTCTTCTCTCTCTCTCTCTCTCTCTCACACACACACACACACACACACACACACACACACACACAAAAGCATGTTGATGACTCGTCCGATGTTTGTGCAGGTGCAATTTCTTAAACTACAGGCGAAACACAGCATGTTTCCACTGCGAGCACAAGCGTCCTCCCGACACATATGCCGAAAATCAGTTCGTCGAGAGTGATCATCTCGGCCCCAGAACAAAAACAGACCACCGTCTACCCAACAGGCGAGAGGATGTCTCCAACGCGTGGAATTTCGATTTTGACGACAACGAATCTGATGGGGCTGATGTCGCCACCTTTGAGTACGCCGATTCTCAGAAAATCGACGAGGATTTCCAGCTCGGCAGTCGGGCTCCTCCAAAGGCTTTCGACAGGGAGTATCATCCCGACTCGGGAACCGGGAGATCTGGGACGGGATTCAACGATTTTGATGATGAAGATGATGATATCGACAATTACGAGGTAGTTTCCCAGAATGACGCGCACAGGACGACGCCTAAGATAGATTTTTCGGAGCTCGAAGCTGACTATGAATCTGAAGATGTAGAAACAAGAGAAGAAAATGATAATCGTCGAGGCCCGTCACGGGGAAAGAAACAAATGCAGCGGAGAAAAACATCTTTCACTGATTCTGAAGATGTTGGAGTGGGCTTTGACACTGATGATGACCTGCCAGTTCACCCAGACTGGAAATCGAGCCACGTCAGCAACCAGAGGAGGGGAAGAGGAGAGAGGCGTCCATTGACTTTTGTTTCGGATGATGTCAATGATGATGATGACGATGATGACCTTGGGTTCGGCTCGGATGCTGACGATGAAACCTTAAGGTCTACAAAGAGAGTAAGTGGAAGGGGAAGCTCCGATGGAATGAATATCAGGAGAGGAGGTAGATCGGGCTTTCGAGGCCAGTTTTCTGAATCGGGACCTGATGATGATGATGATGACGACCTTGGGTTCGGCTCGGGTGCCAACAATAAAACGTTAAGGTCCATAAAGAGAGGAAACAGGAGGGGAGGCTCGAATGGAACGAATAGTAGGAGAGGAGGAAGATCTGGTTTTAGAGGCAAGTTTTCTGAATCAGGATCCGATGATGATGATGATGATGATGATGATCATGATGTCAACATAAGGTCCAGAAAGAGAGTAAGTGGAAGGGGAAGCTCCAATGGAATGGATAGTAGGAGAGGAGGAAGGTCGGGTTTTAGAGGCAAGTTTTCTGAATCGGAATCTGATGACGAGCCAAGTTATCGTCGTAATAATCAAAGAGATAAAGCAGGCCGTGGAGGCGGCATGGCTTTCAGGAAAGGCTCTCCGAAAAGAGATTTTGACTCGAACCCGAGAAGAAACAATAGAGGAGGCAGTCGGGAGAATTCGTTTAACGATCAGTCGAGGAATTTTAGGGATGGTAACTCATCAAGAAAGTTTCAAAGCCGTGGTAAACAAGGTAATAAGTCATTTAACAAGCACGGTGGAGGAGGAGGAAGGTCGAATTATCCGTCTGACAGTTGTTTGAACGACGAACGACACCTAAGGCCTAGAGTTAACGTGCGATGAGTTTTGGTTTATATACGCTTCACCTCAAATTTTATGATGTTAGGTAGAAATGAAACTGAGTGCCTTTTCATTTAATTACCGCGGGTGGAGAGAACGAGATAGCTTGTTATGGTGAGTATAATGTTTCAATTGAATCTGTTCTATGATTATATTGCTCGACTGGTGATGTATTTTATCTGCAAATTCATTCAAGTGCTTTCCTTGTTTGTCACAGTTTCAGTTTCTTGCCAACAGAATTTGATTTGTGGAATTATAGTGATTTAGGTGCAGAACTTGTTGACTGGAGACTGTTGAGTGTTGGCTGAGCCACTCAGGCTGAAGATCTAGCTAGAAATTGAACAAAATATCGTTGTTTTCTTGGATCATTACCAATGCCCGTTTTTACCTTTTTTGGTTTGTTACTGAGATTGATTTATTGTTGATAAGTAACTAATTGCAAACGGCACTAAGGGACATTTAGGTATGGATTAAACCGGTTATGATCCACTTGGTGAGTTAAAGTGTTGATTAAACTGGCAAGTTTTGGTGAATTAAAGTGTGGTTTAAACCGGGAAGTTGATACGAAGTAAAAGTAAGAGAGATTATAAGAAGTAATAAGAAGCTAAAATTATATATAACGGATGTATAATGAAATTAAGTTGATGTAATGCGGGAAATATGAGAGTTGATGCGGGAAATATGAGAGTTGGGTTGAATTGATTTTGAATGAAGTTATTGGATATGAAAATCGATTGAGTTGGATGGTTACTCATATCCTTAGTCCACATAATGTTCATTAGGCATCCACATTCCACATCATTTGTAATTTGATGTTCAAATCCTGTAATTTGTATCTCACTCAACTTCACGAAACAAGAATCTGGGAACCAAAATAAAGTCGGAAATTATTAGTCCTAAAAGCACTTTAATTGCAAATTCTCATCAATTTTAAATGCCTCCAAATTCTATTTTTTTTTTCTTCTCAATTTAACTGTGAAACTTCTATTTTGAAATGGTAAATGTGGTGAAATGCACCATATATATCCTGGAAACAAACAGTTACCAACAAATAAATTATGGGCATGTATTGTGATGCCTGATTACATCGGTTCCTTTATTACTAATAACGAGCCGGACTTTAGAAAATTATATAAAAATTCTCTTTTCGAGCCGACCCGAGCTCGGCTCGTTAACGAAATGAGCTCCAGAAAACTCGACCCAGGCTCGTTTAATTTAACAGCACTAATTACCACTCATGTTCACCAATCTCACAAATATAACTAACATCAATTACAACATTCAAAATTCTCCAACTTTAACAGCACTAATTACCACTCATGTTCACCAATCTCACAAATATAACTAACATCAATTACAACATCCAAAATTCTCCAACTTTTCGGCAAATCATCAATCAGTACTTCCACACAGCTAATTTATCTGTAAGTATACAAAACTTTTGAACAAGAATCCCACTGTTGAGCAAAATAGACTCACCTCATGAACCTACTTAGAAAGTTCTGACCCGTGTGTGTATATATATATGTATTCTTCGCTGGCTGAGAAACTTGATTCGGTTTATTTAACCCCGAGACAAAGTAAATGGATCATGACATGAATAATTTTAATGAAAACTGAGTCGAAGAATCTCAAACCTACAGGAATAAGTATGTATGAGAATCTGTGGTCATGTGTCACCAACTTTTTCGCCAGGTGGTGATCCAGCAAGCCAACCCCATACGCCACCCGAGCTCTGTCTTTGTTTTGCGCTAAGTGCAGCCTGTTCAGAAGCGGCTTTTTGCCGTTGGAGGATTTCAAGCTCCTTCTGTAAAGTATCCATCGTTTGCAGTTTCTGCCTTAGTTCCGCAACATCTACCTGTTTAGATCAAGCAACATTAATTAGTGGCTAACTTGCATTTTTAGTCCCGTTGGTTTAACGACTATAGCCATTTTAGTCCCAAAGTTTCTACATTTCGTCCTTTTGGTCCTGTAATTTTATATTTTGCTGCAATTTCGGTCCTTTGAGGACTGATATTGCAAAAAATTGCCAATTTATATCTTTGAGATAGATATTCGATTAGCAATTTAAATTTATTAATTTAAAATTTCATTGCATTTTTAGTCCTATAATTTGAAATTTTGTAGAAATTTCAGTCATCAAAATCAAATGACTAAAATTGCAGCAAAATATTATTAAATCGCTGGACCAAAAAACAAAAAGTTGGAACCTTGGGACTAAAATGGCTATGGCGTTAAACCAACAGGACTAAAATGCATTTTTGCCTTAATTAGCAGACAAGCTTTGGGGGATATAGGAATAAGTGCAACCAACCAACCAGGCCATTTTGAGAAAGTAGTCAGAACAATAGCTAATGCATCCCCGAATAATTTCTAGTGGCATTCGTACTACATTAAGAATGAAGCTCTTTTTTCAGGAGCTTGTTCAGATTCCAGTAAACAAAGAGACCCAGATTGCTCTCGTGAACAATTGTTTAAATAAGAACTGGATCTGTGGCCTAAAAAAAAATAGGCCAGTCAGATTGATTATTTTATCAAGGCTGAGGTATTAATTTACGAGAAATATAGCACTAATTTTCAAAGTCAAATCTGAAAATATTATGTATATATACAACTATGAAAATATTTCTAGTGACTCCTAAAATGCAGGAAAACAACCACAGCCTTAAGGTGAAAAAGTGAAGATGAACACAAATGGTGGAAAGAACGCAAACTGACACATTGCATGCAACAAATATGAGTTCTACCGAGGTCAACTTTAGTGACTTAGACAGGTAATAAAAAATCGGGAGAAAAGTTCGTCTAATATAGTAAGTGTGTATCTGAACAGGAATGACACATACCTCAAGTTTGAAACATCTGGATTGCTCTGCTGCAAGCTGGCCTCTCACAGATTGAAGTTCCTGCCATATCACGTGAATCTTATTTAAAACAAATTTATTCTGATAAAAAAATAGATTGTCATAAATGTATGACATTTGTGCCTAAGGTTAACACCATCTTTGTAGATTAGTCAAAAAGAAAGGCAAAACTTGCATGTCTATTACTCAGTCAGAGTGTTCTTCTAACTTCTTAATATTGCATCAATGCAGTCTGTCAGTGCTCAGGTAGATAGGTTAAAAAATCTTCTCTACAGAAAAGAAAAGTAAAGAATCCTATTCATGCTACAGATTTTCCAGTTCAATGCATCAAATAAACCATTACAAGTTCATCTCCTTGAAGCATTGAGCTAACAATAGCTTTCAATCCTTTCATATGTTCATTTCTGCACAACTCTGTCTGAACAGATATTGCCTCCCCTCACATGCAACACAATTTTTTTTTTCCAGTTATACATTCAAATAATGTCCTAAGATGTAACCACTCTCGTCTAGTGCAATTGCGTTTATTCATTATATGTTAACGATGAGGTTGCTCTGAGAATGTACCTAGATCCAATATAAATTAAAATATTACATGCTTTTGTCCTTGTTTTATAACCTCTAATCTAATGAGAAAATTTTACACGTGTATAATTAATCGGTACCCAGTCATATACCCCATAGCCATGTACAGAAATATCGACCTATCTCCGAATTTGCACCAGCTTAGACCAATAAACTCTATGCATTAATCGTACCGCAATATTATAATCTAGAGAATTGTATTTGGTGTTGAAGTAGGTTTGCTAACTTAGAAATCTCAGTAAACGTATTACACAGCATATCAGCCACTCCATCGCATTAAAATAGTTACAACGTTGGATTCATGAGACCAAAACTAAAGAGTATTAAAGCACTTTGAAATAAATCAAGAATTAACACAAAAATTACCTTGTATAAGTCTGTGTTGCGAGTTTCAGCATCTGCCAACTCTTGCTTTAACTGAAGGGTCTGCATTTTCTCCACAGTGAGAGATGACTCTAATTGTTCTTTCTCTGTCTTAAGGGCTTCTAAAAGACGATCACTTGTCTCTTCGCTCTTGCTAATCTGTGCAAAGTACAGAAATATAACTCACAAATTCTTCAGCTATATGTGCACTTTACTGTAACCCTAGGAATATATATATAACTTATTACATGTGAGACCCCCAAGCATTTGTAACAGTTTTCTGAAATACACAAGACATGTGAATGAGCCCTCTTATTGAATGAACAAGATCAGGAATGTAATATGCACTTCAGTATAAGCCTAGGAATACAAAAACTTATTAAATGTGGGAGGCTGGGAGCTCCAAGCATAGGTAACAATTTTCTGAAATATGGAACACGTGTGAATGAAGCCACATATTGAATGAACAAGATTGGGAAAGTAATATGCATTCTGACAATTCTTAAGTATAACTTTTCTTAAAGTATATGCATTTTCATCTCCATTGTGAAAATTCATATCATAGTCACTTTACTAATATATTAATGATTTCTAAGTATATGCATTTTCAAATCTACATTGTGAAAATGCATATTTTGGTTCCGTAGCTGGAGCAAAGTGATTACTTTCATGTTTTATAATTGATGGAGGTTCCCTGACAGCGAATGTAATACGAAATTTGCACTTGTTTCAACTAATAACCATATAACACGGAATTCAGTCATCAATATTTTTTCCTATCGGATAAATTAAAAAGATGTGAAATACGTAATTCAGAAGACTGTCCATGTGAAAATACTATGATAATCGCAGCAATAGATTCCGGTAAAGAGTTATACATAACGCCTACCTTTGGTTCAGCATCAATATTGTCCACACCAATTTCCCTTATTTTTCCTTCTTGACCTGTCTCAAGCTCAGATCCCAAATCTCTGGTAGCATTAGTGACGTTTTGAACAGCTGATACACTATCAGGCACTACGGTCACCATCTTTGATTGCAAAGTTGATTTATGACTTGGTTTAAGTACATTAACCTGATGGCAATAATTAAAGCCATTTTCAGGGATTGAGTGAACTGAAATCATTTCCAAATCAAACAGGCAAAAGTAACAGGGTTATCCAGACCTCATTGTTGTACCTCCCATTGTATCCGCCAAATGAGACTAGCACATCTTCACCACTGTAAGAGCTAAGGACTAAACTCAAACCCTGAAACCAGAAGAAGTAAATCAATTTCACTGGCTATTATCGACTCATAGTTAAAAATATCTGAGAAGGACCAAATTTGTTGTGTGTACTGATAACACAACCTTCATGCTGACTCTTAAGTATCAGTCTATTCATCAAAAGAACTCACTTTTAGAATTATCATAACGTGGAAACAAGAATGGAAAGTAGTTTCTACTAATTCATTACAGTTGCAACTTGCAAGTTGTTTTGCAGGCAGGATATAAGGCTCAAGGCCCAAATATACCAACTCCACCAAAAATATTCTGGGTGCATCAGCAAAAATGTCCAAAATGACCCTTTATTATAAATAAATGCTGCTTTTTGATAGGAGTCAAACTAAATGCATCAGCTAGATCTTCATGATGCAAAATGAATGAAAACTATGGTTCAGGTAGCTATTAATGCACAAATTATGAGTCTCTATAAGGCTCGTAAAACAGAATTTCATAAACATTTTGCAGTATGGTGGGAAATAATCCTAGTTTACAGACTCATTAATTAAGGTCAGAACCTTTCTGCCGCAAAGGAACATTAACTTTTCATTAGTGTAAAAGAAGCTCAAAACACCCTTTTTTATTGTGTCATGTTCCAGAAAATTCAGACATCAGACTTCAAAACGTTCATTTCAAATTCAATGCACCGATTAGGTATCATCATCATCATCATCATCATCATCATCA